ACATAGACCTGACCAAGGTGTTCAATTTCTCAACAGTTGCTGGTTTTAATGGCGTTCTTCTTTAAGGTAGGCTCAGTGAGGCGGCTCAGACAATGTGTTGAACATAAGAAAAAAAAATTACTCGATTCTCATCCACAAATTTAATGTGGATGGGGAATCACTCCCGCTGAGGTCATGTGTTCTGACAGCGAAGAGACTTCAATGCTACCAGAATACACTGATCAGTGCTGCCAGCTATAGCCAGCGGTGCTAATTGTGCAGAAATTTTCCTAGAGGCTGATAGTACCGAAGTCGATTGGTAGATAGACTTCTGTACAACCAGCCTGCCCATATATGGATCGAAATTCAACAGGTCCCTACTGAAGCAGATTAATTTTAATCCAAGAATGACCGCCTAGGGCAAAAATATCCTTTTTGTGTGTATAAAAACATAAGTAATGGAAACAATGAATTAAAAAAAAAAAAAATGTTCCTTTGTCCTGAGGTTTATTTGTGTCTTTGAGACTGTCGGCTGTGGCACAGTATTTAGTATTTTGTGGGTATGAGGAGTGTGGTATAGGTGTGCATTGTATACAGCAGACACAGATTCTGTTAATTTAAGACCCTCTCACTGGCCAGCCACAGAACTTTTTTCCCTGTTCTTTCCAAAGGTGCCCCATGTCTTTCATGATCCCAGTCTTGCTCATATTTTGTCATCCTGTTTTGACTTTTTAATTGGAAAGCCATTCAGATTGCTCATTATGAGTATTGTTAATATCATCAATGTTTACAAATTGTTTATACTGTTTAGAGGCTAAGCTCGCCTTTAAAAACATATTATATGTCCTGTGCACTGCTGACCCTTGTACACTGCCATACTGACCCCTGTACACTCTGCTGCTGACTAACCATCCTCTGCCCTGCTGACCCCCTGTACACTGGCCTACAAACTGCTGACCTCTGCAATACACTACCATACTGACCCCTGTCCTCCACACTGCTGACCACCCATCCTCTGCCCTACTGACCCTCTGTACACTGGCCTACAAACTGCTGACCTCTGCAATGCAATACCATACTGACCCCTGTCCTCCACACTGTGACCTCCTCTGCCCTACTGACCCTCTGTACACTGGCCTACAAACTGCTGACCTCTGCAATGCAATACCATACTGACCCCTGTCCTCCACACTGCTGACCACCCGTCCTCTGCCCTACTGACCCTCTGTACACTGGCCTACAAACTGCTGACCTCTGCAATACACTACCATACTGACCCCTGTCCTCCACACTGCTGACCACCCATCCTCTGCCCTACTGACCCCCTGTACACTGGCCTACAAACTGCTGACCTCTGCAATACACTACCATACTGACCCCTGTCCTCCACACTGCTGACCACCCATCCTCTGCCCTGCTAAACCCCTGTACACTGCCCTACAAACTGCGGATCCCAGCAGTTTGCTCTGCACCCCCATATCAGACTGGCTAGATCTGGCCCTGTTCGGCCCATCACTATTCTACCTGAACACCAAGATCCTTCTCCATCATTGACTCCTTAGGTGTTCTCCTCCTAGAATGTATGATGCATGCATGGTTTAAGGCCCCAAGAACATAACTTTACATTTATTAACTGTATTAATTTGAAAACCCTTGATGTATTTCCACATAGAACCTACATAAATACTAGAATCCATACTCATAGTAGCCTTTGGTAATTCCCTGCCTAACAGTACTCACAATGGAAGAGAGGCAGCACTCTAAGCCAATCAGAGCCCTACCACTTTGCACCACAGTCATAGAGCTGCATTTCATATTGTAGCAAAAAAGTGAGCAGGGGTGCCTGGATCACAAATCTGGCTGAACAGAATTACAAATCCTCTGAGAAGGTAAAGCAGTTCTGATATATGTATTTCAACCTTGCATTTACTTGTTTGCCCGGAGTTCTGCTTTAAGTGCTGCTCAAAGCACAAGTTACACTACAGAGTATTAATGATTTATTATTGTAATTGGATTATTGAAATAGTTGTTTCGCAGATTTCACTATGTATGATGTCTGATACAAAGTGGTTATCTCTGTGAAACTTTCAAAAATGCTTTGTTGTTGTGTACATGGCACTGGCATAACTACAACATGGCCTTGCAACATCAATTGCCTATACCCCCAAGCCACTTATAATCAGCCCTCTGTTTCATACAGTAGATAGGCCTTTTCCATAAGAACTAAAAAGATCACGTTAGAGAAATGCTAACAAGGAATGTTTTATCTAAGGAAATAGATGTGTTGTAAAAATATTACAGTATTGCTTAATAAAGCACTATTGAAATCTATTCTGCCATATGCAATATTAATGAGAACAAAACACTACAATATTTTTCAGACTTTGTATAGACAATAAACACAGGACGTTAATGCAATGCAGTTTATGGATTTTTCTTAGATCTGTGCAGGAACTGGCAATTGTAACATAACCTAAAGACAGTAAATGCTTAGGCTGACAATTTGATTTGTATTTATCTCACCCTCAATATACCTATTAATATTCTTCCTATTTTGTAAGAGAAAATAAGGAGGATCAGTAAAATTATTTTTTTAATGTATCACGGGACAAATTAATTTCTCGAAAACAGATGACTTAGGTGTCCTTAGTTTACCAAAAAATAGCCGTATGCACAAAAAAGGTCAAACTTTGTATTTTCCAATCAATTAGCATGAATTATTTATGCAGCAATGAGGAGCCTGACTATTTTTAGAAGGCAGCCTTATCTTACCTATGGTATGCACTGGCATCAAACATGCAAAAATGTCAATCAAGGACACTTAACATCTGATTCGGTAAAGCAAAATGCTTAAAAGGATGGCATATTGTATTTCAGTTAACCCCTTGCTGCCTGTGACAGTGGTCTCATGATCAGAAGCCGGTCCCGTCAGCTACTGATCTTTAGCCCGGACTGAAAGCTGTTTTCAGCTAGGTCTTCGTACTGGCAAGCTCACTTTCAGCACATAAACATTGGCTACCCAGTGACGCATACGTGTGGCATGTAGTCATCAAAGCCCACCCTTTTGCTGCCATGACATGATTTTGCTGCCATGACATGTGTTGGGCGGTTACCCTGTGAAAGATGTAAACAGTAATATAAATAAGTGTTTTTTTTAAACCTTCTTTTTATGAATAATTTGTCATTTTTAATGTACTTTCCGGTGGTGCTCTTTCCTGCTTTGCAGTGCAACACAATGATTGCACATTACTGCTTTTCCTCACAAATGCAAGAAGATGAATCAGCCAGATCATTCAAAACATTGCTATCATTCAGAATCATTGCTAGCATTTCTTTATCTCAACAGTTATTACAAAAGGCACTGTAGTTGCATTGAGACAATAAAAAGTCAATCTAGTGGCCGATCTACAAATCTCAAAATGTATATAATAACCACTAACAATATAGGCAAGCTACTTCAAAAGTAGGGTAAAGGATGAAATAATAACTCAAAAAACATACTTTCCCTTCAATCTGAAACAGCAGCCTTTTTTTCCCTTACCTTTTTTCCAGCCCAACCTGCCCCTTGCCTAGACAAATTTTAAATATAATCCTGCCCCTGCAGCCTCCTGGGATATGTACATCATATCCTAGGAGGCATTAGTTTACAAGGCAGCACCGGAAGGAGGATCTGGTGCATCATTGGAGGGCCAGCTGTAAGAAATAAGAAAGGACAGCCAACTGTCAATGATATTAGAGAGAAAGATGGAATCACTGGACCTGCTGTGCAGAGGCAGAGTGGCAGATCATAAAAAAAAAGCCAATAGATTTGCTGGGTGTGTAAGTTTATTTAGAATAACAGATTAAAACAAGTAAAAGGGGTTTTAAAAAAATACTTTTATGTGGCGATAAAATTCATTTCTGACACCTGATTGACAGAGTTTAAAGCAAAACTCAGATTATAATTTATATAATATAAAAATGAAAAGCCTATTAAGCTAAAACAGAGAAAGGGGAACAGCTCAGTGATTACCTCTGTCACTCTGCCTTCTCCTCTCATGAGCATGCTCCCTTGTCAGCACCCTAATTGATTCCTTGTGCTGCTACCTCTTTTCACACTCCAGCCCTTCTATACTGCAGGAAACTGGTACCAGCTGACACGTTTACTGCTTGCATTAAAAAAAACCCAGCCTAATTAAGTATTAATGTTTCTAGAACTGCATTAAATTGATTCTATAGGTTGTAATTAAAAAAACCCAAACAAACATGTTTTACTTACCTGCTCTGTACAATGTGTTTGCACAGAGAAGCCCTGATCCTTTTCTTTTTGGATCTCCCACAGGCAGTCCTTTCTCCTCTCCCCTGCCAAGTGCCCCCAATAGCAAACTTCTTTCTATTGTTCATTCACACACAGGACATGTCTCGACCCAACCCCCGCTTTCTGCTCATTGGCCCACTGGCTGTGATTGACAGCACCAGAAGCCAATGGCTCCCACTGTTGTGTGAGCCAATGAGGAGAGAGATAAGAACAGGAATGGCCGGCACTCAGGATAAAGTCCAAATGTATATTTCTTTATTATGGAAACATAGCTAAAACATCCAACGCGTTTCGGACAATTAGTCCTTAGAAATGGCTAAGGACTAATTGTCCGAAACACGTAGACTGTATTGAATGCATTAAGGTGATAAATCTTCTGCTTTTAGAACCACTTTAATTTGTGTCTTTTATTTCTTCCTATTTAGCTTTCATAAAGTGTAATAATAATGTGCTAATCATAGTTATCTACAACAATCACCTGAAAGTGACCATTTTACCACTGGATATATGTTAACAAACAGTGAAATGAAAAGCCAGATTTCGTTGGTTGCTTTATAAATAATTTCAAGTAGAATTTGCCTTCCAGTAGCTTACAAAAAAAAACATGCTTCACACTCTCATTCACTCTGTGTGAGTTTTATCACTGAGCAAACCTTCCTCATGAGTACAGTAAAGACGTGTAGTGTAATAAGACAAGCAGAGTAAACTGTATTGAATGACATACCACAGAAAGCTGTTGTGGCCAACCTACTGCGCTCCAACGGTGGTGCCCACTTGCTCCAAATTCCATGGCACGCTGGGTATGTCACTCCCTTAATTGCAACAACAGATTGTTAATACACATTTAATACAACTGTCTAGAATACAACCTGTGTCTTCACAGAATGCTGTGTTATGCAGGCCATAGATGGGTTGAAAATCGGCCGATTTTTCGTCCGAAAATAAAATCGGACAATTTTTCGGCTGAAAATAAAATTGGCCGATTTTCGGATCGTTAGTGGGCTAAATGTTCGGCCGTTTTTCGGTATTTTGGCAGATTTTTTTTATCGGTAAAGTTGGAAAAAATCGGCCGATTTTGCCGATCGGCCGATTTTCGCGGCAATGATGGGCAAATCGGCCGATCTTTTACCGATAAAAAAATCTGCGCATGAGCAGTGACCTGCAAGAGGAAGACAAAAAGAAGAAGAAAAAAGAAGAAGAGGATGAAGAAGAAGAGGAAGAGGATGAAGAAGAGGATGAAGAAGAAGAGGAAGAAGGAGAAGGGGAAGAGAAGAAGAGGATGAAGAAGAGGAAGATGAAGAAGAGGATGAAGAAGAAGAAGAAGAGGATGAAGAAGAAGAGGAAGATGAAGAAGAGGATGAAGAAGAGGATGAAGAAGCTGAAGAAGAGGATGAAGAAGAAGAGGATGAAGAAGAAGAAGAGGATGAAGAAGAAGAAGAGGATGAAGAAGAGGATGAAGAAGAAGAAGAGGATGAAGAAGAAGAAGAGGAAGAGGATGAAGAAGAAGATGAAGAAGATGAAGAAGAAGAAGAGGATGAAGAAGAAGAAGAGGATGAAGAAGAAGAGGATGAAGAAGAAGAGGAAGAGGATGAAGAAGAAGAGGAAGAAGAAGATGAAGAAGATGAAGAAGAAGAAGAGGATGAAGAGGATGAAGAAGAAGAAGAGGATGAAGAACAAGAGGAATTCCAGTCCTGCAAAAAGTGTCCCTGCAGAGAGCTCCACTATTTCTTTGAGAGTTCCTTGACATTTATAGCGGTTGCAACAATGTATCTATTTGTTTCTGAATAAAAACATCTGTATCCTAAATGGATACAAATAGATACATTGTTGCAACCGCTATAAATGTCAATGAACTGTCAAAGAAATAGCGGAGCTCTCTGCAGGGACACTTTTTGCCGGCTGTAGACGGGATGAAAATCGGCCGATTTTTTTTACCGTTGCTGGTAACGTTGGCCGCTTGAACGACCGATTTTTCGTTTTTTTAAAGAAAAATTGGTCGATTTTTGACCCGTCTATGGCCTGCATTAGTTTATATTTCATTGACTAAGCATGTGTGTTTTAAATTAAAATGATAGTAGATAATTCAAGGGCAGAATATTGCATACCTTGACAAGGGGTCATGTTGGAAATATTAAATATATTGTCCAGTGGCTCAATATTGTTATATACAATATAGCAACTAACATAAGAAACATTTGCAGTTTCCGTTTCCTATTACTTTTCTAGGGAATAATTATTTCATGTTTTTCATACAAATATATTAATCAGCAACATTCTGATTGAAATTCTCAAAGGAGTTCACCAATTGGCAGTTCCGTAGAACATGTAGGTACCAATTACTTTATACAGACAATGTGCAGCATTATACAATGCCCATAAGCAAGAAATCTGTTATATCCTTTGTGATGGAAGCCTGTCAGGGCAGCTAACCTCACAATGAGTCTGGACCTCCAGAAACAGTGCTAGGCTGCTCCAGATTCAGTGCTGCTTCCAGAAGTTGCATAATGACAGCCTCCAGTACTAGATGAAGCCTTGATACTAATAGATAACAACTGTCTTGACCTTTAGGTTTGCTGTTAAACTGGCTACTGACAAGACCTGTGATTGTAATAACACTAGAAGAAATAACATTAGGCTTTGGTTCATACTGAAGGCGGCTTTGAAATTGCGCTACTTCACTTGATGCAGTGCGATTTCAAAGCCGTTGGTCAGTGCGAATTCATATCTATTTTATATCTATGCAAGTTGCAAATGAAATCACCAAAAATAGTGCAGGAACCTTTTTTCAAAATCAGTTCTGCGCTGCAAAGTTGGAGTTGCACCAATTCGAATGATTCCAAATAGGGTGCAACTTGTCATGTGATTTGGAACTGTCAAATTGCATAAAAGGTCACGCTGGTATGAACCAGGGTTAAAGGTACAGTTCTCTTCCAATCCATTCACATTGTTCTCAATAAAGCCCTGATAAGGGGGCATGTTTGGATCCTCAAAATGTGATAGATACTCTTTGGATTGCACCCCTGAATTTTACATTGTTACATAGTTAGTAAGGTTGAATAAAGACACAGGTTCATCCAGTTGAACCTGAGAAGTGTGTGTGTGATTACTGTTTTCCATACCCCTGTACATTTTGTTCACTAAGAAACTCATTCAAAAGGTTTTTGAACTAATCTACATTCTCTGCTGACACCACTGACTGTTGAAAGGAATTCCACATTAGCATCATTCTAACATCATCCTAAGAACCCCTTCTGCAGTTTAAATGAGAAGTATAGACAAAGCTTTTATAGCTATACTTTCCTGTGGATCTCAGGAAAGCAGTTAGTTCTCCACTCCTGTGACCTGTTTTCAGCTGACAGCAGGCTTCAGTTGGGATTCACCCAGAATCCTGGACTAGCACCTGGCTCAGACTCTGAGCAATCCACCAAGAGACTAAGCCAGCCCTTCCCACCATCCACAGCCCAGCACTCCAGTGAGCGCTGGAGGGGCAAAGCAGAGAGCCGGAGTCTGACAGTCATGGCTCTCTGCTTAGAGAGGAAGGGGGAATTGATCGATTGTGGTTCTCGATCACTCTGTTCTCATGCAGAGACAGTGGGGTACAGATGCAGCATCAGATCAATGTTGCTTCCACCTAAGTGAGTATATATATTTTTTTTTTAATCAGCCCATACATCTCTTTTAAGATTTAACTGTTTCTTTTCCAACTTCATTGCTTTACTGGATGTCTTCTTTAGAGACCTATGATTAAAACGTTTCCTCCCAATGCTAGAGTCACCATGCAAGGATCACTATCATATTCCCTCTTAAAGTGTTACTAAACCCACAACAGTAAAATCAGTCTGTATATGCAGTAAAGCATGCCTGTTATACTCACTGTGGAACCTAAGGGGTTAATCCTCTGCATTGTGTAAAAACGCTGTTTGATCTTGACTTCTATGATCCTCCCTTTTTTCCAGTATCCCCCTATCATCTCCTGATCCTATTATATGGAGTAACTCTGCACATGCTCAACTTGGTGTGCATTGCTAGAGTGGTTTTGTTTTTTTTCTTGGGAGGATGCATGTGATCAGCACAGGGCCTAAATCCATGCTTGTTATTACTACTAATGATACTTTTTCATCAGCAAACTTTTGGATATGGTCCCTTATCATTTTTTTCAATAGTTTACATATTATTGATGTTAAGCTGACTGGTCTGTAGATTCCAGGTATATATTTCAGGCCTTTTTTTGAATATTGGTAGCATGTTTGCTTTTCGCCAATCAGTTGGTACCATTCCATTCAGTAAACTGTTCTTATAAATTAGGAATAATGATGTTATTGGAATAAAGTCGTGTGTGGATGCTTTAGCAGTGCTGTAGTGCTTCAATTTCCATTTTTTTTTCTGATCCCTTAAAAGGTTAGTTCACATTTACCAAAAACTGCCTATGCAGATTAAGGGCATCTGCAGATATAAACATAATTTGCAGCTCTGACGAAAGTTGAATAACGCTCTTGCTATAAGTGTGGGCCATTTACGTACCTCATCAAGCCTGACTGGAATACTCCAAGGGCATTGCTAGGACCTTGCTAAGTGAGGCCTAAGTGAGGCTCACAGGAGTGAGCTCTCAAACGCTGAGCTCAGAGCTACTGCATCATGGGAGAGAAAGAGCATGTGAGGGGGTCTGAATCAGAAAAAAAAGGCTCAACATTTGATGGTGGAGGTGAGCAATAATGACTGTATCACACTTAGCAATGTCCTAGCAATGCCCTGGGAGTATTTCAGTCAGACGTCAGAAGGTACCGTATGTAAATGGCCTACACTTATAGCAAGAACAATTTGTTTTTATCTACAAACGCCCCTTATCTGCATATGCATTTTTTTTGTAAAGGTGAACAAACACTTTAATGGTATTTTTTTTAAAATGCAGTGAGCTAAAAAAAGAAATAAAAAAACAAAAAAACAAATTCACTGTACGAGCATAGAGGTGACAAAGTTTGGAGGTATCTGCTGTAATTACAACTTTTGTTGTAAGTGGTACCTGGGAATTGGTTTAATAAACAGTGACTTATACATTTTTCTTTGCAAAGGATATTGGGAAAAAATTTAATCGTTGTACAAAGGAACCAGTCATGTTCTCTATTCCAAATATTCCAAAAAAGAATCCTCATTTGTTGTTGTGGACAGGAATAAGGTGACCTTTTTGCACCAGAATCAATATGCCAGCCCCATTGTAATCTGATGGATCTTCTAAAGAGGAGTGCATTGTTACTCATAAGGAAATCTTTGGAGCAAGCCATGCAAAGACTTACCTCTACTAATCCCTGCAGGATCCTCACAAAGATGACACAGCCATAATGCACCCTCGCTGCCGACGGGATTAACATGTTTAACGTTGATGTAGCAACTATTGCAAATCCAAACACTCTGCAATGAAAAGATAAATAAAGTAAGATATAGGATACCTACAACACAGGCTGTCAAAACGTGAAAGTGTTTGGCCAATGTCTTTTTAAATAACTCTCTTGAAAAGAGTTGTTTTTTTTTTTTCTATTTCAAAACTGCTTTTCTCTCTATACCAATGAATGGAAATGCAAAAACAGTTTGAGGCAACTTGGAAGGAGGTCAGCTACAAGTCAGATGCACCTGTAAAGACACACATCCGTTTCCGAAGCATCTCTCAAATATACCAAAAAGTGTGCTGCATTTGCCTATCAACATGAGGTCTTAAAGGTTCATTCACATAGGTATAGGCATGTGTGGAATGCATGATCTTGCTAGCAGAGCTGGCAAAAAATCCAGTATAAAATACACATTTAATTACTTATGTTTATACAATTCTAGCAACTTCATATGTGAGCGCATATACACGTTTACATGTGTTAACACGTGTGTACATGTGTAAAATCTGCAGTTATGTAAAGCCCTGAACACAGCTGTATCCCACATTTTTAGATGCAGATATACATACGTGTGTAGGGGACCTGGATTGGGCAGATGTTGGTGCCAACCTGTACAAGTGTCGTCTAACTTCTTGAATAGCGCACCCATATACCTGTCTCTGTGGACACTATCTTGGATCCATCTCTTTCAGCCAGAGAGCTGCTCAAAACCTTTCTGGCTTAAGGCCTAATACATGAAACAAGGGAGTGTAGCGTTACTCCTGTGAGGGCCACTGTATTTCTTGGTACCCCTAAGCTCTGCACAGCCAGGCAACATGCATTTTCCAAACTTTTATCCACAGTCAGTGAACAGTCCATGAACTTGGTTTTTGTTTTTTGTTAGGGGAATATAACTGGGAAAGGTTAATAGGGATTATGGGAAGCCCAACCTAATTGAATCAAAGCATGGGGACAGCTTCCTTCCTATTTACAGAAACAGATCCTGGGCTGTTCTTATCTTTGCAAGCCGTCAGGCTTTGCAGATCAGTAGCAACAGCCCCTTACAAGTGAGGAACTTGCAGCCCGTCTGAAATCAACTTAGCTTCTTGTAAACTACATGCAGAGATGTCTACTCTTCCCTGTAGAACTGATCCCAGCTCCCCAGCCTGCAGACTCTACCAGCCCTCCTGGCTGCTCTGAAGATCTCTCAGGACAAGGATAAAGGATTAAGCACAGCACTGTCCTTTGAAAGCTTACTACGTAAGGCAGTCTTTCCTCTTGTGAATCCCAGGATGTGCTTATGTACTCACTCTGTTGTTTTTGCTCCCACTTCTCCCAGGCTTTGATCTTGTTAACGCCTCACTGCTGAATGGATCCTCCAGAGCCACCCTGATCCCAGCCTGGAGGCCAGCCCCCTGCAGACCTAGGAGACCCCTCCCAGGCCGCTGACAGTCTCCTCAGCACTCTATCTTCCACCCGACTCCCCAGTCAGCATGACTATCCCATATTTATGGATTGGTCCACCACTCTACCATGGCCTCCAAACTTGAGATTGGTTAGACTTCCACAAACATACAGATTAGGTCTCCACCTCTTCCGCCTACTGACTTCTGGAATGTTCCCATGGTGCTCCAGAACCAGGTGGAGGTGACAGAGTCCCAACCTGTTAAGTCACCCAGCTTGACCTGCAGTAACCCGACCTTAATCACAGACTCACACAGTTACCATGAGTCATACACAATTGATTTACCTACACTATTCAAGTAGCACACTAGAGGGTACTACAGAAATGTTCACACTCACATGCATTTTCAGCACTTTACTGCAACTTCACATTTGTTTCCAAAACATTTTCTTTCCAAATATCACATTTTACATACTGACAGGACTTTGGAACAGAGTACCACTAACATGAATATACATCCTGCAGTAGTCCTTTCAGTACGGAGCACAATTGCTCATATTTAGCAATCTTCCCTCCATTCTTATCCTAGGGAGCACCACAGAGTTGGGGCCACTTCTCAGTGTACACTAAATCTCTTAGCCTTAGCCTATCCACCACCGAGCCACAGGACCTGCAGCTGATGGTCAGGGGTAACAAGGTCATTTGATTATTATACAACTATTCTCTTCCAAATGTCATTTCTATAGCTTTTCTCAGCCAGACATGCTCCCTCATCTATACCTTTGTTTCTGGTGACACATAGAAGACTCTGTCAGAGGCCCCCAAGGCCATATGCACCATGCTACAGCACCTGCAGTAGAAGGTCAGGGGTAGACAAGGTGACTTCAACTAGTCTTCACACAATCTGTGCCACTTCTGGGAATTCAGCACAGGGCTCTTTGGGTGAGCACGATGTAGGGTTACATTGCTGCTGCCCTGGGGTGTCCTGTTCCCATACCCAGTCTGCCTGGGCCCCACCAACAGCTGGTATTTATATTGGCACTAATTTCATCTATGGGGAACAGGAAGGTACCAAACTTAAAGGGACACTAAACCTGCTAAAACATGGCACACATATGTAGAACTAGCTATGTGTATGGACCCATTGATTACTATAGTGCTACAAATTTAAATGCCAGTGTGAATGAGCCCTAAAGCAAAATACCTTATCTAAATTCTTATTTCAGGTCAGTGACTCAGAATCCACTGAAACCAGAGCATTAGCATGACAGTAAAGCAGTTAATATTTTCAGATGGAGGGGCAGCAAAGGCAGACTACATATTTCTCTCATTGCAGTTTTTCTTGTGTGTTTATACATTGTGAGACTGAGGATTTATATACTATTTATATAAAATCTTCTTTTTGATTCACAGAGCATTATAAGGCTGGTAAAGAGAAAGCACAGCAAAAGCTATTTGCCAGCAGACTCTCTTTTTTGATGTACCTGCAGGAAAGATGGGAATGCATCTCTTTTCTGTGTAAATTGGGGCTTGTGGTATCGACCTCCGTAATCAAAGGACAAATACAGTAAGTCTGATCTGACAAATACCTGAAAAGGAGCCTAGAACTCCACCTGCTAGTTGAACATGAAAATACCTCTAATAGAACTAACCCTTCCTATTCTTTAGAACTAAGGATGCTGCCATCCTAGCCTCTGTTTGATCTGCAGTTGCCATAGATATGCACATTTGATCAGTTATGACACCAGCCAGTTGATGACTTGACATTTCGGATGGAAGCAAAAGCAACAATGACAGTTATCATTCACGGCATGCCTTAAATGTAACTGTTTGTTTCCAGTTTTATTTCTCTAAAACAGTGTTTCTCAACCTTGGGGTGCCATGTGGGTTCCTCGTAGGACCCAGAACAGCACCTTGAGTTTTGTATGGTGTGAAGGGAAGCTTTGATGTAATGGAAGGACCTAGAAAGTGTTGGGAGAACCTCTGATGTAAAAGGGGCTTCTCTTGTAAAGTTAATTTCATCACAGTAGTTCTGTGTATTATCCAAGGCTCAGTTTCCCATTGATAAATAAAATGTACATGTTTTAAATTTAAGACTGGGGTGCCTCAAAATTTATCATACTTTTAAAGGGTGCCATGAGTGAAAAAAATGTTGAGAAATGCTGCTCTAGAAGCAGGAAGAGCGTTGAGTGGTAGGAATGGCAACCATAACATTTCACGTTCAAGGTTAGGACCTAGTCTGCTTTGCTGTCCCTCACAGAACTATCTCTCTAACAAGGAAGGTCTGTTCACAACCTGCTAAATGAAGTGTTGAATGCCCTGTGAACTGTAAATGAGCATGTGAGCAGAAAGAAAAGAGAAAATTGCTGTAAAATACAGCATAGTGGAGATTTATTGATTTGACTGGGTTTCTGTGCTACTGCTGACTCATTAACGTACTGCTGTTAAATTGGCTGAGAAAAAATTCTGACTAGGTAATTAAAATCCATCAATACTGCTCTTGGCTTGGCACTACACGTGGCATGTACAGAGGTGTACAACCACACAGCATGTCTCATTAACTCGTGCCTTCGAGCCAATGTATCAATAGACCCACACCTAGCATGAGCCCCAATCTGTTGAGTCCTTTCTTACAATGTCTAGCTGAAAAGCTAAGAACTATATTTGGCTTTAGGAAATCAAGTAATAATAAATGCGATCCACTGTACAACAGGCAAACTGGATAATATACAGTGGAATATCAGTTTTACCAGGAACAGAGGTATTAATTTGAGAATTACAAAATGTAATTACATTGTTTGTACTGAAGACTGCGCTGGACTGACCGGATCAGTCACTGGTCGTAGGTGGGTGGTTGCGTTGGTGGGTAGGAGATGTCCTTCCAGTCAGCTGTACCCAGTGGTGGAAATTGGTGGTAAACCCTCTTAGGGTTTGGGCTGCTGCCTTTCTGGTACGGCCTTGAGGTCGTTTCCACATGTATACTTGGAATATTAGAAAAGAAGGAGCACCCGATGTCCAAAATAATACACTTTTGATGGTAGATTAAGAGGCATATATTCTAAGTAATGACAAGTGCAGCAAGCCAACACGTTTTGGGAGAAAAGACTCTCCCTCCTTCAGAGCTATTAAATATGAAAAATATACAGAGAAATAAATATATCAGAAAGAAAAAAAAAGTATGCATATTAACCACATCCTGACCACCTTATAGCAGATATACTGCTACAGGGCGGCAGGGGTGCACAAAATCACGTATATATATATATATGTGTTTTTGTATTTCCGGGCAGGGAGCATGCGCGAGCCCTACCCACGCCGTCATTCATGGCTGTGACTGTCAATCACCGGGTCCTGGCCGGTGATTCCCCACCGGTGCCAGGTGATTACTGAGCATCTCCCAGTAAAACACTCTCAGCACACAGTTAACCCTTTGATCGCTCATCATGTTAACCCCTTCCTTCCTAGTGCCATTAGTACAGTGTCAGTGCTTTTTTTTAGCACCGATCACTGTCTTGGTGTCACTAGGGGTGTCAGTGACACCAAGTCAGTTCCCCCCAGTGTCAGAATGCCCGCCGCAGTCGCTGATCACCGCCATTACTAGTGAAAAAAAAAAATCCAGTATATATACACCGCCATTTGTAAACGCTATGACTTTCACGGAAACCAATTATTTACACGTATAGGGATTTTTTTTAGCAAAGACATTTAGCAGCATACATTTTGGCCTATATTTATGACAAAATTAGATTTTTTTAATTTTTTACTGGAAATATTTAATAGCAAAAAGTCAAAAATGAAGTTTTTTTTCTCAAAATTGTTGATCTTTTTTTTTTATAGCGCAAAAAATTAAAATTGCACAAGCGATTAAATACCACCGATAGAAAGCTCAATTTGTGGGAAAAAAGGATGCAAATTTCATTTGGGTGCAGTGTTGCATGACTGCGCAATTGTCAGTTAAATTAATGCAGCTCCGTAACACAAAAAATGGCCTGGTCAGGAAGGGGGGCAAGTGAGACTTCATCAGGTCACGAGGGCAGTGATGTAACGCGTAGGTGACGTGGTGACTTAATATCTGGTGATGCGGTGACGCAATATCCGGCGTGGACGCCATCTTGGTGCTCCTAGTGAACCCATGCAGTACACCCACAGCATGAGGTTGAGGAATTGAAATGCCTGTATAACGTTTATATCATGTGAGTAGAAAATTGGCTGTTTTTGAATACTTTACAAATAAAAGCAGTACTACACTATGGAAGTTCTCTCTTCTATATTCTGTTGGAGTTGATCGTATTACTCAGAGTTAAAGGGATCTTGATCTGGTTTATACACTACCACTGGAAGGAGTCCATTAAACAGGATATTGCTTTTGGAGGATCCAGGGGTGATCCAAAAGTTGTATGGCCCATTGGGTCATGGTAAGGAGGTGAGGAGGCAATTTAGCTATTTTTTGGATATACCACCAGCGGATGTAGTGCACATCCACAGCACGTTTGCACGGTTAAGTTTGTGGATCACCTGCGCTTATATACACAGAATTTGGAATTTGATTGAACTTTTTTTATATATGCATTTTTAGATTCACATGGTTGTTTGCAAATATTTTTCATAATATTATTGGTCGATGTGATTTTTTTTGAAGCACTGTTCACTTTAAGTTTGTATGATTTATCCCCCAGTACTGGGATCACGCAATCACTGTTTGTGTTTGATCAGGGACATCTTGATCATCTGTTTTTGTCTTCATTGGTTGCTTTGATGTTCATTTTTGATGTTGGTTTTGAGTTTAATATATGGTTAGTTGTGAATGCATGTATTATAGTACATCACAATTATGTTCACCATTTCACTTTGGGTCCTTCACATTTGGATTATATTTAGACACTATTGAGAGATTTATTTAGGATCTCTTGCACTTGAGGTTATCACTTATTTGATCTGAGTAAAATCAGGTTTTAATGTTTATATCACATGCTATGTTATATTTGCGTATGTTTTATATATTTATATATATATATATATATATATATCTATATCAAAAATGAGAACATTAGGTCGATTATGTAGAGGCACAAATGTCAAGGTAAAATATGTCTTAAAATTAACAAATTGAATGTAATTATGTCACTGATAAGATGGAAGCACAAACTGTTACTGCTATTCTGCATCCATATGGGGCTGTATAGGGCTTGACGATAACTAATCACTTTTTAAAAACCATCATTTTTCCCAATCAAGTTCTTTCAGGTTATGATATAATATAATGAACTTAGCTAAATGACTGGTGAAAACAGAAAACATAATTTTAAAGGAATGATATCTGAGTTGACATCGACTTTACAACACTTAAAAATACATATTTATACTCACCTAGGTGGATGCAGCATTGATCCAAAGCTGAATGTGTCCCCTCCAGCTCTATGTGTGAGCAATCAAAGACCACTGATCACTCAGTTCTCAGCCTTCAGTGAGCAGAGAATTGGTGAATGCAAGTCACAGGTTCTCTGCTCTGTCCCTCCAGCGCTCACTGGAGCACTGGGCTGTGGAGGGGGTGGGAGTGGCTGGCTCAAACTCTCAGCACATCACAGAGAGGCTGAGCCAGCTGCTGGTCCAAGCATCTGGGTCAGGGGCGGACTGACCATTTGGAAACTTTGGCACTTCCCGAGGGCCCGGGGTCAGTAGGGGGCCCCATGAGATGCCCCTGGTACCTTTTTCATAGGCTTTTTTGAGTTTGGGCAAGGACACAGGGGCCCCATGATCCCCTATTGCCCGGGGCCCCATGAGTTGTCAGTCTGCCCCTGATCTGGGTGGATCCTGACCATATGGTCAGGATCATTTCAAAGCATGGACTGGCTGAGTGAATGAACTGCACCCCTGTGAACCCAGGAGAAGCAGGGCCAGAATAACTTTGGCTATACTTCTGCTATAATAATATTAATAATATAAAAAAAGCTACTCTATCAGCTGGCTGTCCATAGGAACTATAGCCCTGATACTCAGTTGAGCGGTACCTGAGAAAAAGTTTGAAAAGAGGATGCCTTTGGTGTGCATTTAAAGAGGAACTAAACTCTCTTACCCTTTACAGCCAGGGAAGCTGCCATTTTTGCCACAGTTGCCAAGGCTCTGCACATGCAGACATCAGCCATTTTATGACTTGATAGTTCTGTTGAGAGCACAAGCAACTGTGACAGTTATCATTCTTGGCATGCCTTAAAGCAGAAATAAACCCTCCTATTCTTTGCAGTCTAGGAAGCTGCCAGATTAGCCCTGTTTGATCTGCAGTTGCTATGCTGCTGCACATATGATCAGCTTTGACACCAGTAATTTGATGGATAGACAGTTTAGTTGAGAGAACAAGCAAATATGACAGTTATCTTTCACGGCATGTCTTTTTTTGGGAAATGGGCTTTAGTCCTGTTTTACCTGTAACTGTTTTGTGAAACAATTAGTTTATTTGGCTTTAAGAACATTCTCCCTATATACCTTTGTTCATTATCTGTTTTTCCTCTTAACTTTCCTTAAAGTGGTTGTAAACCCTTACATATATCCATTGAAGTGACTGGCCTCAGATGATACACAGAGATTAAGCAAATCCTGCCTCATATGTTGTACCTGTTTATCTCTGCGAATCTGTCAAACCAAAAGATTCTCAGCTATAGCAACGCAGAGCGGGGATCTAAAGTCTCACAGTGCAGATCTCATTGAGGGGAGCTCTGAGGCCTGATAGAAGGCAAGGGACACACCTTCCTTCACACAGTACTTGGAGAACATGCAGAGCTAAAGATCTGTATCGCAGGCTGTGTGCGGACGCTCTTCATCCCCCTTTTTATCTCTTGGTGTTGGAAAAATCTGTCAGAAGTGACTCATACTGATAAAAAAGGAAGAAGGCGGCAGAGAGAAATTACACTAATTGCTTTGGATGGAAAGAAGTGCACAGTATAGAAGACTGTGCTTTGTTCCTATTTCATGTCTGGGGGTTTGCAAACCAGTTTTAAGCCCAACACTGGCTTCCAAAATATTTGAAATAGGTGTCCCCATCAAAGATTTGCATTTGTCTTTTGTTTCGATGACAATTTTTAAAGCGATGGGACATTTTTTCTCACTTCCTGTACCAGAGACAATAGTTACTAGTACAAATAGAGGTGGTGATTCCCTCAGTGGGGACAACAGACAGCAACTTGTTGCATTTAAAGTTGGTTCAGAGCAAGTATAACACCCTTTTCACCTGTTAAGTATTATAGCATATCTAAACTCATGAACAACAATGTTATATATTACAGTTTACCAGTCCTTAGATTTGGTAACTGCACTAGTTTTCTTTTTTTTAGGCATTTCCCTTTATTTTAACCTAGTGATCTTGCCAGTAACACACTTCCTGTTCTAGGGTGACAAAGCTTGTACAGTGTCTGTGGACAAGCCACGTCTGATTCTGGTTGCACTAGTTTTCATAGATTCCCTCATTTGTGTTCTGGGGATGTGTAAATTGCAGTGCAACATCCCATCAAAGGGTTAGGTTTGAGATGTAGCTGATGATACACCGAGTTCATATAGTGAACTCAGTGTAGAGTTATTCATCCTGTGGTCATCACAGAGGAAAAGGGGGCACTCTTTACGTCTGGAGGAAAAGAGATTTAATCTCCAAACACAGAAAGGTTTCTTCACAGTGAGAGCTGTGAAAATGTGGAGTTGACTCCCTCAAGAGTTGGTTCTGGCCTGGATTGTTTCTTAGATACACAGAATATAACTGGATACTAACATATATAGGTAAAGTTGCTCCAGGGAATATCTGATTGCCTCTCGGGGGATCAGGAAGGATTTTTTTTCCATGCAGGAGCAAATTGGATCATACTTTGCTGAGTTTTTTTTGCCTTCCTCTGGATCAACTGTGAGTATAGGATTATAACTTTTTTTTTGTTAATGGTTGAATTAGATGGACTTTTGTCTTTTTTTTCAGCCAGACTAACTATGTAACTATGTAGCACATGCACTTTCCTGTTACATTCAATACTGTTGGCAAAATTGTCCAAAAGAAAAAATAAATACATATTAAAGTGTTTGTAAACCCATATTTTTTTGTTCTTTAAAATAATAAACATGTCATCCTTGCCTGCTCTGTGCAATGGTTGAGCCTCCTCTTCTCGGGTCCCCCGCTGGCGCCCCTGGCTGCTCCCCCCCCCCCCCACTGAGTGCTGCTATAGCAAGAAGCTGCTCACTTGAGAGCCTACTCTGTGTCCATAGACACACACAGTGTGGCTCGGCCCCACCCCTGCTCCATCCTCACTGGGTGTAATTGACAGCAGCAGGAGACAATGGCTCCCGCTGTCATCTCTGAGCCTAGGAGCAGGGAGAGAACCGATCAAGCCTCTTCTCTCAGGCACAGCACTGGATCAAAATCAGGCTCAGGTAATTATAATGGGGGGGGGGTTGGGGGGAGCTCCACTCACAACGTTGTTTACCTTAATGGAGAGAATGCATTATAGTGAAACTTTAAGTAAAAAAGTAAAAATGGGCGGATATGCAAGAATGTTTAATTCATACGAGACATGCTGTACACGGAGGTGCAGCTCACTGTACAAATTTGGCAATGCAGAAATTTGATGAAACTCCTGTGCATGCGTGGGAGTGACATCATCCCCACCTGACCAATGACAACGGCTGGTGTTCGGGACCTGGAAGC